ACTCCAGAGCTGCCCGCACCTGCTAGCACACCTGCACTCATGCATACTTTGCTCTCACCACACATCTGTTCTCCAGCAGGAATTTATCACCTTTCTTGTGAACCCAGGATCTCCCACTGGAGTGGCCCTGCCCCTCATAAGGGAATGGGGGTGATTCTTCAGGGGCCTCCTGTCTCTGCTATCCTGGATGGCACTCTTTACCAATTCCAGAGACCTGAATCGTCCCTTTAATCAGGGCCCAAGTCAGAAGTTCTTCCCTTATCGCCCCTGACACAGGAGTTGGAGGTCATATGTTAGGTCTCAGGGTCAAGAAATGAAAATGACTTCTGCCTGTGTTGAAGGCAGGCAGGCAGATCAGTGTACTGCGTGCCCCAAAGTAGGGAATTCTCCAAGGCTGAAATAAGGAGTGAGGGGTGTGTGTGTGTGTGTGTGTATGTGTGTGTGTGTGTGTTGTGCGTGTGTGTGCTCACTCAAGGATTCAGGCAGGAGCAGGCGGGAGGGATGAGTCTACAAGCACGGACTAACACAGTTCCTCCCTTAGGGGCTGGTGGTAGCCATCCTCTACTGCTTCCTCAATGGTGAGGTGAGTGTCCTGGGGAACCACGGAATTCCAGTACAGGAGCTCCCCGATGACCGGCCAAAGGGGAGTGAGAAAGGGGCTGAGGCAGGTCTGCTGGCTTGGCAGAGTCACCTGGTGGTATGATAGATCACATCTTGGGCAATGTCCTCAGGACAGAACCAGCAGAAATAGATTCTGTGGGTCTGGACAGGGCCTGTGAAGTGTTCCTTACCAAACTCCATGAGTAAGCTCAGCAAACCCAGACGAGCCAAGACCCCACTCAAACCCAAGTTCCCAACAGCTCTGCTGCCGGCTCTGGGAGGGACCTGAGTCACTTCCCACCCAGAGCTCAGTCTTCCCATGAGTGAAATGGGTCACTTGGAGTTGCCCCAGCCTTGGGCAGAGACTAAGGGTTCAGGATATGAAGCGCCAGTCACTGACCCTGGCTAAATTGGTAATGCACACAGGCCAAGTGTCTCTGCGGCTATTGGCCAATCTGTCTGGTTCACACACGTGAATGGGAGTGACCTCAGATGTTTCCCAAAAATCAAACATCAAAGCTGACTTCAGAGGTTCAAGTGCTCTCTTGAGGACCATAAAGGAAATATCTAAGAGCAAACCCTCAGATCACAGATGGATTCCAGACTGGGGTGAGGGGGTGATGGGAACAAGCATACAGGTTTGGACACCTGATTCTGCAGTTTGTGGGGCAATTCCCACACCTTTTCTGAGGAATGCAGTGTTAGAAGATGGAGGGTACAGTCCGGAACTGATGTGCAAGGAGAGCTCAAGGTGTCCCCTGACCTCCACAAGAATGTCATGGCATGCACGTGTTCACATCTCTCGCTCTCTAAATACATAAAGAAATAATTTTAAAATTTAAAGATGCCATGGACTAGTGCCCACGGTAGAGACGGCCCTCAGTAACTTTTCTGTACATGGGGCAGGAATGGTCAGTCAGAGACCTATAGGGAAGGAGGCACAACAGGGCCATGAGAGTTGGGACAGTGGGGCTCATCAGTGAGGCAGGTTCTGGGCAGAGGCCTGAGCTACCTTCTCGAGCAGTCGCTGCAGCTGATGGCTGGTTTTGGGCAGGTGCAGCTGGAAGTTCAGAAAAAATGGCGCCAGTGGCACCTCCAAGAGTTCCCGCTACGCCCTGTGGCCCTCAGCAACTCCTTCAGCAATGCCACCAGTGGTGCCACCCACAGCACTAAGGCCAGCACCTCGGAGCAGAGCCGGAGCACCCCCAGGGCCAGTATCATCTGAGGCCGCAGCAGGACTGGCAGCGGATGCAGAGCTGGACACTCAATAGGACAGTTCTCTCCTAACGGCTCTTCTGTGTTTGAGTGGCTGAGAGGCCTTCCTCCAGGTACTGAGCTTCCTTAGAACTGAGACTGGGTCACCATGGAGCAAGAAACAGGTCTGTGATTTGGTCTTTCTTGTTCTTCTGAGAGAGTAATTCAGTGGCTCCAGAGGAGGCAAGGGAATAAATGACATCCAGAACACCCGAGTCTGTGTGTGTCAATCTTTTGCCACCTGGGGAAGGCGTATGTTCTACACCACTTCCCAGCTTCTCCCTGAAGGAGCAGGGAGCTTCCCTGCCTCCAGGTTCCAGCTCACTTTTAAAAACAAGCCTAGAAGCTCAGAAAATATGAGGAATCAAGACCCTGGGCCTTAGACTGATCTCGTCTGCCCTAGAGTTCGCGTAGAGCATACAGGACAGCAGCTAAATTAAGCTGGTGAAGCCATGGGCCTTCTGAAGCCCCCTTTCCTATCCCTGATGTTGTATGAGGACTTTGTGGAAAACAGGGACATCAGGAAGTAAGCCATCCTCTCTATGCATGGCAGACAGCTCCTTGAAGGCCCAAGACTTGCCCAAGATACTTTTTGTTCTTTTGAGACAGTGTCTTCTATAGCCCAGGCTGGTCTACTAATCCCTAGGTAGCCGAAAATGACCTCAAACTCGATCCTCCTGCCTTCATTTCCAAGTGCTAGAATTGCAGATTTGCACCACCAAGCCTGGTTTATGTGGGCCTGGGAATCAGACTCATAACTTCATGCACAACAGGCAAGCACTTTACCAGCTATGCTACATCTCCATGGACCCCTATTGCACAGTCTCTTAGCATCTGAGCTTCAAGGCGGGTGGTGATTTCCTAACTCTCAAGCAGGCAGAGGCCCATCTCCCTGCACTATGAGCTTCCATAACTCTGGCTCTCCATACCAGCACATTCTCACTCCCTGGCTCCATAAGAGGATGAAAGAGGATGAAGTGTTTGAATCTCCTTCCAAACAGAACCTAGCGGGGAAACCTAAACAGAAATGGGGACCTGGCCTCCGATTCGCATCTTACAGCCTGATGCAGGACCCCTTCCAGCCTGGGCCCAGTATGAGCCGTCAATGAATTCTGGTTTTGGTAAAACCAGACAGTCCCCATGAACTCCTCAGGTAGAGATGGCAATATGGCTCAGTCAGAGAGCACCTGCCCAGGTGCACCAGGCCTTGGATGTGAGTGACCCTCAGCACTGCAAGACAAACACAAAACAGCCAGTTCTGGGATCTCCAAGGTCCCTGAACAGTGGTGGTTCCGATGTAGCATTTGTAGCCTCATGACTCTCAACTGGAATCAAGATGTCTAAAAGTCAGGGCTAGAGAAGCGGCTCAGCCAACGAAAGCTCATGCCGAGCAAGCATGACGACTTCAGCTGGATCCTGGAACCTATGACAAGGCGGAAAGGACCAGCTCCACAAACCATTCTCCAACCCCCACATGTGCACATGATGTGTACATTCCCATGCATGCATGTACAATAGTAAGTGAGATGAAGATATGTAAGCTCACTGTAGAAGGGGCTGGAGGGATGACTTAGGGGTAAAGTGGATGACGAGCTGGGTTCAGTTCCTGGAGCCTGTGTAAAAGCCTGGTGCGGTTGTGCAGGCCTCCAATCCCAGTGCTGGGCAGACAGAGGCAGGAAGTCCCTGGGGCTCACTGGCTGTCCAGGAAAGCACACTGGTGAGTTCTAGGCCAGGGAAGGACACTGTCTCAAAAGCAAGGTGTGTGGCTTCCTGGAGAATGACACATAAAGTTGGTCTCACATGCCTATCTACCCTTACACACATATGTGTACACACATGAACATGTATTCATACATATACAAAATCACAATAGAAGCTACTTGGGGAGGTTGGGGTAGAAGGATCACTTGCACTCACAAAGTAGAAACCAGCCTGGGCAACATTTTGTCTCAAAATAAAATGGTCCCTCAGTGGTGGGGTATTTGATGAGTGAATAGAAGGCCCTGGGTTTGGTCCCAGAAGCAGAAAAAAGAATCATCACAGGTGTGTTCACCTAGCCCTGGAAGGACCCTTATGACAAGAGCAGGGCAAACCCATGCGGGGCTGGAGGGGAAAAGAAGCTTAAAGGTTATATGAGAACACATGTCACCTGTTTCTGGGTGGCAAAAACTGGAACTGGGGCAACCGGAGAGCAAACAGATCTGGGAGCTGCAGTGATGGCTTAGCTGGTGGGTCAACTGCCTTGCAAGCACCTGAGTTCAATCCTCAGAACCAATGTAGAAAAAAAAAAAGCTGGGCATGGTGGCATGTGCTTGTAATCCCAGCTCTGGTGAGATGGGAGCCAGAGGTCTCTGGAGCTCACTGGCCAGCCAACCCAGACTACCTGGCAAATTCCAGACCAAAAAAGAGACCATCTTGAACAAAATGGGGCTAGGGTGATGTTTCAGTGGATAAAAGCGCTTGCTACACAAACCTGACCACCCGAGTTGGGATTCCCAGCACCCACACATAGCTGGATGCAGTAGTGACCACATCCATAACCCCAGTGCTCGTGGGCTGAGAAAAGAGAGGCAGGAAATCCCTGGAAGCTCACAGGCTGAGACCAGCAAAGAGACCCGGTTGCAAACCAAAGGGAAGGTGAAGACCAGTAGGGAGTACTGACCTCTAAACTCTACCTGTGTGCCATGATGTGCGCATGCCTACACCCCCACACAAAGATTTTTTAAAAAGTGGATGGCATCTAGAAACAACACAGGCAAGGTTGTCCTCTGGCCTCCATACACTGGTGCTCACACATGCACACATGTGCACACACATACATACACACACAGGGAGAATGAAAGAGAGACAGAGAGCAGTTCTTCCAGGGAGTATGGAAATCTCCACAGGCTCTTGACCCCTTTCACCTCCACCTGTCCCCTGCAAGCTGTTAATTATTACTCAACATCTGTTTGTCCCCTCACCCGCTGTGGCGTTCAGCAGTGCAAGCATGTGCTCTTTGAAACGTGTTCCAGGATCAGAAACGGACGCTGAGGTCACCTGACCCTGACAAATGAGAGTCTCACAAACAGTCCTGCCCGAGTTGAAACTGGCCTCAGGGAAGACTGTGTTAGAGAGCTCTTGCAGGGACTTTACTCAAGGAAGATTTCAAACTATGAGAGAGGACAGCTAGCCTCTAGAAACTGGGGTGTGTCAGAACCTGTGGGTCCACACAAAGATTAAAATCCACTAGTCCAAGGACTTTCTGGGGGAATCCTGCTAAGCCAGGGAAATGCATGCAAAGCTCCCTTGAGCCGATGAGAGATGGTCCTAGCCACTGACTGGTCCCTTAGGCAGAGGACTTGGCCATTCTTAGAAACCTTGAGTCCTGAGGGCTGGGCTGGGAGATTGCTCAGTGGTTAAAGCCCAGGCCATGCAGGCAGTAAGACCAGAGTTTGGATCCCCAGAATCCATATACATGTTGGATGGTGTAGTGTCACCTGGAATTCCAGCCTGGGAGGCAGACGGGGCATCTCCAGAGCAAGCTGGTTAGTGAGACTGGTCTTACAGGTGAGCTCTGGGTTTGACTGAGAGACCCTGCCTCAATGAATAAGGCAGAAAAGCAATTAAGGATGAGACAGACATCAACCTCAGATCTCCATATGCATACACTTGCATTGCATGTACATCCACACATACATGAACCCATGCACATGTTAAGACATGTACACACACACACACACATACAGCACATGTATATACATAAGAAAAAAAGTATCCCAGGGCTTAGCTGGGCAGTCAGCCTGGAACCAATTACTGGTATCTTTCAAAGTCTATTCTAGTCCAGGGAAGAAAACACCCAAGGAAGAAGTTTTAGAATATTCTTCTTATTTTAGAATTGACATCATAAAAGCTTGGCTAACCTCTATGGCTTGCTGTCCTGTGGTACTGAGGCAGTTGTCCACTGGCCTGGGGGGCAATTGAAGAGACCCCCCCAGCCCACGGCCATTTGTAGAGCTACTCACTAAGAGGCAGCTTCAAGGTCATTGTCCCACTCAATTCCAGGCAGAGGTTCTATGTCAGAGAAGTTCCATCATGACCACACTTTCTTATAGAAGCTAGGGCCCCCTGCGGGGTCTTAGACTTTTCTTAGCTGGTCCCAGGGCTGCGTGAGGCTGTTAATGTGAAGGCCACTGGTGGCGTTGAGGAAGAAGAGGAATGAAGCGGTGAACTCACACCAAAACATCAGGGTGAAGCCCATGAAGGTGATCTGACTCTTGAGGAGGAGGATGAAGGTGAGGAGGCCCCCAGAGGAGAGGACGAAGGCGACCAGTAGGAGGTAAGAACCGATGGCCCACTTGCGCCGTGAGCGGACATCCTCACACACCTGGGACACCATAAGCAGCTCCAAGCCAAAGATGGCAGCCACCACAGCCATGGCAGCCACAGTGCGTACTAGGCCCATGCCTACTGCCAGCCCGGGCACGTGAGCCTGGTTCAGGTCTCTCAGGCAGTGTGGACCGCTGTGGTTGCTGATGGTGCAGAAGTACCACAGCCCAAAGAGATGGTCTTCCACCAGGAGCCAGTGGCCGTCGCAGATAGACACTGAAGAGAGGACCACAGCCAGGGCCGTGCACACGATGATGAGTGTCCGGATGAAGGACTCAAAGAAGGACCGGTGGGGCCTCTTAGGGCCCAACAGCCTCTGGGTCTGGAAGACACCATACGAATTAGTGAGTTGACAAGGGCCTGGGACACCAGGGGAAACTCCCAGAATGCAATCCCACTTACTCCAGCCCTGTTTTTGCTCTGATATCGTGGGAAGCCATGAATTGACCCTCCCAGCTTCCCATTCAACCCACCCCCACTGGGGGCCCTTCCATTTTCTACCTGTCCTCGCTCCACTGCCAGAGCCTGGCCAAGTGTTTACCAATTGCAAACTAATCCCTTACTGTTCTCAGGATCTCTACCCAGAGTGAAAAGCCCAAACTGGAACCGGGAAGATGGTCTTGTGGGTAAAGTACTTGCTTGCTTTACAAGCACGAGGGCCACAGTTTGATCCCAAGAACCCACATTTTAAAAAGACAAGCAGGGTGGTAAGTGTGTGTAATCCCAGAGCTGGGCATCTGGGCAGGCAGAGCCCTGGGACTTGCTGGCCAGCCAGCCAACTTGGTGAGCTTCAGGCGAGAGAGAGAGAGAGAGAGAGAGAGAGAGAGAGAGAGAGAGAGAGAAGGAG